GGCTTTTCTTTTAAGGAATCAGAGATTAAATTGCTGTGGATGTTTTTTATGTAGACTTTTTTTTTTCTGTAACTGATGGGCTAGCTAGAATTTTTTAATTTTGTGCTAATTGCACAAAACAAGGAATGTATGGTGATGGTGTAACCCACACACCTCCTGGGTGTGGTGTTCTGTCCCAGCTAGTGGTACCCAGACCACTTAGAAAGCGAGAGAATTAAATGAGTCTGCTCTACAGCCTTAGCTAAAAGGTTCAATCCTGCCTGCCGACAACCGGGGTCTGTCGGCGTTACAATGGCAAGACTTATTAGTGTATAATAGTAGTAGTGGTCCATGGGCTTGGCTACACTTGCAAGTTAGAGCGCATTAAATCAGTCCCGGATGTCCTAACTCCTGAGGTGTCCACACTGGCAAGGCATGTAGAGCACCTGGACTCTGCAGCTGGAGAGCTGGTAATCCACCTCCACGAGACGCATAAAGCTTGCTGTGCGCTGGGTGAAACACCTGGGTGTCAGTGTGGACAATGTGTTGCATTACTGCGCTGTGATTGGCTTCCGGAAACATCCCATAATCCCCTGACGTCAAGTGGCCACTCTGGTCATTGTTTTGAACTTGGTTGCAGGCATGCGGATATCCCCTTTCAAAGCTCTGTTTCTGACAGCCGGCATGCTTATCTACTCCAGGGCAAAGCAAACCATTATTGTGGAATGCTGCTGCTGTGAGTGTATGTGAGAGAGAGAGGTGGGGGGGGGGGGTCTGCTGCTCTCTGAACTTACAAGACAGCATGCTGACACACTCTCTGCCCCCCCAAAACACACTCTCCCTCCCCCCACATACACACAACACACTCCCTGTCACACTCCACCCTCCTCCCCCATTTGAAAAGCACGCTGCAGCCACTTGCACACTGGGATAGCTACCACAATGCACTGATCTTTGTGGCATTGCAAGAGTTGCTAATGTGGCCACGCCAGTGCACTTGCAGCTGACAGTGTAAACACACGGCAGTGCTTTCCCTGCTGCGGTCTCCGAAGGCTGGTTTAACTCCCAGCGCTCTACATCTGCAAGTGTAGCCAAGCCCCATATTTATATTGCCGTAATGCCTAGATGCCCCAATCAGGGCCAAGATTCTACTCTTCCTGGTGTTTTACAAACATGACCCCTCTGCCAAAGAGCTAATAATCTAGGAACGCTAGAGTGCCATAAGCATGTGCAAGATTTTAAAGAGCATATGAAATTATAATAATACTTGACACATGTACCCTTCAAATACTTTAATAAGCATCAGGTAATGCATCCCCATGACACCCCTGGGAAGTAGGTAAATTTTCTTATGCCTGTTCTACAGATGAGGAAACTGAGATGTTAAGGACCAGATTGTTCCGAATCCCAGCCCAGGTGCACAAGGAGAAACAGTACAAGGAGCCTCTGCTTTTCCCAACTTGACTGTAGAAGGATCAGCTGCACTGTGACAGGGAACAAAGGCCGTGCTCTCTCTTAGTACCAGTACAGGCTCTAGCTGCCTGAACTGGCATGAGGAGGGAGGGCTATAACCATGGTTTCCTCTGTACCAGCCAGGCATGGAGTGGAGAGCGCTCATGTAGCGGTCACACCGACATGCACTGCTTAGAAACTCATAGGGTAACTTCTCCACTCCACAGTTACTCCCATTCAACTCAGAAAGCCTAGGGCACCACTAGCCTCTTGTCGCTCATCCAAGCCCACAGAGAAAGTCAGTGTCAGAGCAAAGATTGGAACTGGAGTGGTTCTGATTTCTGTGTCTCTGTCTGAAGAGAGGGGGTTCATGCCCCAGTGAATTCACAATCTAATTTAGCCACAGAAATATAGGATACATTGGTCAAATGAGAAAGGAAGCAGACTGCGCCAGTGTTGGAAGGCTTCATGAAGACAGGTGTGTATGGGAATGAGATTGGTTGGTGCACAAGAAGTGGGCTTCAGTTCCAGGTATAGGGTGTGATGTTAAAGAAGGTGCCAAGTGAAGAGTAACGGAAGATGAATAATGATATAGAGTGAGGAGGGAGGTTTGGAGGGACTAGCAGCTTTCGAAAGGCAAGTAGCATGCTTTTCTTAACACAAGGACCAAGACAAAGCACATTTACAAAGTGTCACTACGGACTGAAAAGACACTGCTAGGAACAGAGAACATATTAGAATGGAACCTGCCTCAGAGAGCCACCTAGGGTCATTCCCTTAACTTCCTTTTGCATACCCCAAAATATTGTGTTTCTCCTATCTTTCTCTGGACAGATGAGAGTAATGGAAACAGGAACAGGAAATACAGTTGGGGATTTCTCAGACTTTCCAAAAAACAAGCTGTTTAATCATAACAGATGATTCTCCATATTGAAAGTAATATCTTTTACTGGACCAGCTTATGTTGGTGGAAGGGACAAGCTTTCGAGCTCCACAGAGCTCTTCAGGTCATATTTTGTCTCATTTCCTAGAGCTTACCAATAAATATTCCTCAAAAAGGATCAAGGCAACAACTCTTTGGGAATATTGCCAACAGCTCTAGGGCATCCATTCAATATAACTTTACTGAAAGGATTCATTGCGGAGGACAAATGCTCTAGTTACTCTGAAAAATACCCCATTTCAGTTAATGAGATTCTCTTTTATAGACATTCATCCCCACTTTGAGCAGTTCTCAGCTTAGTGTTTGTCAATAATGTAATCATCAACATAAGACTCAGCAGCTAAACTAGCATTTGGCTCAGAGAAGTGAAAACGCCTGACAGTTCTTCCTGCTTAGGTTGTCTTTAACTGGTAGCTATATTGTTCTTCCCTGCAACAAGATGCCCCATAGGCTTTCCACTGACCTTCTGGAGGCACGCAGCAGCTCTGAACTCAGGCTTGGTCTACACTACCAACTTATGTCAGTATAACTGTTGCTCAGGCCTCAGGGGCATGGAAAATCCACTCCCTGAGTGAGGCAATTATACTGACCTAACCCAGTGTAGATAGTGTTATGTTGATGGGAGGGCTTCTCCCGTTGACATAGCTACCGCCTCCCATTGACATAGCTACCGCCTCTCGGGGAGGTGGAGTACCTACACTGATGGAGAAGCTCTCCAGTTGACGTAGGTAGCACCTTCACTAAGCACTACAGAGGTGTGGCTGCACCAGAACAGCACTCTAAGTGTAGACAAGCCCTCAGTTCCGTGAACATCTTTTCTACACCCTCCCAGCCAGCAGAAGATAACTGCTCTGAAGAGAAATCCCTTGCTTGGTGAATGTAGAGCTGGGGAGTTGCTTCTCCCTTGAGTGTATTTTACAACCGCAGAGTTTCTGCCAGTAATCATTAACAGAATATTTAGCATTATCTAGCCCAATGCAGTGGGTGTTTGTGTGACATGGACACCTATCCACTAGAACTGGACTGAGACCACTAATGCATTTCTCATGAAGCCACTGAACAGTCATGAGAGACTAATAGCTTTCAGTCTATTGAGGTTGAGTTAGAACGATGCAAAACTTTTTACCAATTATCAATTCCATTAGCCATCCAGTCCTCTGCAAATTCTCATTTTAAAACAGTTCAGCTATTTAAGCTGGAAGTTTTAAAAGTCCTTGAAATTGATAAAAATACAGGTTTTGGCTAAACTATAAAAAGAAAAGTTGATTTCTGGAAACTCACTAATAAAGTAAGTTAGCTACAGAACATTTCATTCTGCCCTCTGAATCCTCCCTTTGGCTGCAAGTGGTTACATTATTCTTCATTTCTTGTCCTGATCCGCTGGATAGGTTTTGTGGATGCTCTTAAAACATGTACAATGTTCCAACATTGAGATGTCTGTACCTGGGCTGATTTTCCATCTGTTTTTGATGGAACATTGGGTTTCTGACTAAATGAAATATCTCACAAAAGCATCTTCTTTCTGCAGAAAACTTCTACTTTTGTCAAAAAGTATAAAAACTTTTTTTTCAGTTTTCAGCCAAAAAACAAAAAATTCCCATTCAGAAATGCTGCTGTAATGCTTCATGCTCCCATTCTTCTCTATGGGCTGGGTCTCCCAGCCAGATCATATGTCCATGGCCAGTGACTATACTGAGGCACTGTGATAGCTCAGTAAGAGGGAAGACTGTGGTTTACCATGGGAAACATAATCCAGCCTGGGAGTCTAGCCCATAGAGGAAAGCAGGAGCGGGAGGCACCATGAAGGCATTTCTGAATCTAAATTTTTGGTTTTAAACCAGAAGGTTTTGGCCAAAAATTTTCAACTTTGATTTTTTCACCAAAAACTCCACATTTTCCTTGGAAAATGAGACAAAAGTGATTTTTTTCAGGTGGGCGGGGGGTGGTTTTTTTGTTTTCCAACTAGACCTAGTCTGTACCAGTGGCAGCTGGCATGGTAGAGACAGGTTGTACTAGTAGCAACTGAAGTGATTGCTACACACAGTGTGTACATGGAATTAAATTAGGACACCCAGTTCTGCATTTGGGTCTCAAGGTGACAATTTGGAACCCTGAATTAGGGATAGTTTAAGAGCCCCAAATGAAGTATCTTAGGGTTTGGGTTGCAGGGTACTGTATCTGTCTAAGCGATTGTTATTATTATTAGTGGTGGACAGTAACCTCAAATCTGAACACCTTTGAATTCTGGGGAAAATCTGAACAGGACTTGGATCCAGATCTGAACATGACAGCTGGCTCCTACTTCTATGCTGGGCCAGACCAAAACCTAGATACATATCCCAACACCCAAACTATGGAGGAAGTTCCCATTCAAATCTGAACTTCACAGATTTTAATCATTCTCAGGACTGAATATTTGTGCTTTGAACTTCATCGTTTACACAGGAAAAGAGTCAGGTTATAAAAACTGGCTTTATAATGAAAACACAGACAGGCTATTAACTGCAGTGATGTTACAGGATGCATTAGGGAAAGAAAACCAGGACGCAAGATGGCAGCCAAATATCTAAAAGCACTTTGAGGAGTTGATCTGCCCTAGGCACAATCAGGGTGCCCCCAGTCTTACCTTTTTATGGCTTTGTAGCAAATGATGACAACTACAAAGAGGAACACTAGTGTGGCGCAGCATACCGCAATGATTATAACCAGGCCTGGCCACCAGGTCTCTTCAGTGGGGCAAAAGGTAGACTTGGGAGCTGTAAAAGATAATGTGAAAAACATACATGAGTTCCCCCGGATAAGTAGTTTATAATCAGATAGGCTTCATTCAGCCTGAATATAGAACTGCACCAGGGCCGGAGACATGTACAAAGAGGTTATTTCACATCTGGGACCAGTTTTCTGAGCAGTAAACTCTACTTGCTGTGTACTGGATGGATATTGCTTGAGAACCACGTGGTGCAGCAAGTCATCAAGTGCTGGCCACAGTTCTTTGTGATGCTCCATCATCCACCACATTGCCTTCAGATACAAAGGGAAAGGTACAGCTCTGCTGCCAGAGAGCAATGTCTTTTCTCTTGGTGACTGCCCATCTATGGCAGGATCAGTTTTAGTTTTACAGAGAAACATCATGCTGATAAGTTCAGGCTTTTAAACAAAATTAGGAAAGGTTTATCTGGGAGAAGTAGCAGTACCTACAATCAGGGATGGAGCTGCTATCATATTAACCTTGGATGGAGGATGGCGAATTAGTTTAAAAGAATGCAGGAATTGTATTACAGTTACTAATAGCTTCTAGAGGACTTTACTCAAAAAACATTTTTCTACAGTACTGTCACTTTTTTAATGCATTTAATTAATATCCATTAATTTATGCAGTGCTTATGAAAATATAAATTAAAAGAAGAAAAGTGTATTTATTTCTAAGGGCTACATTGTGCCCATAGGCACTGCCCACAGCAAGAGTAAACTGCACCAGGAGTAATCATGGGAGACATTTAACTCAGAGATAAACCTCTGCGGCACATTTGTTTCCCTTGTGGCTTGAGAGGATAGCAACACGCTGAAGGTCTATAGGCTTGGCAGAATTTGATTTTTTTAACAATTAATTGTGACAGACATCAATGTTTATTTTTAAGCATTTTTTTCAATTTTTATCAATGTAAATTTTCACAATGGCACAAAATTGTGGGTTTTAATCATTGTTCCTGATTTTTATCAATTTCAGTTGTTCACGGTTGTGGGAAATTATGGGCATGTTAGACAATCACTGTTTAATTATAGTAGACGTTGAGATTCAAAAAGTCAAAGCATTGTGGTCATTAAAACACAAATTGTCAACATCACATGTCAAAATATCCAAGTAAATATCTTTAAAACAAACTCTAAATTCCCAAATAGCCTTTTTCTTATTTTTCTGATCTGAAAATTTTGCCTATTATTGATGGAAATATTTTTCCAACAGTTGGTGATATGGTGAAATCTGTGTTTACCGACATCTACTAATAAAAGTGAAATCCTTCAAACTATCTATAGGGCAGCAAATGATGAAATCAGGATTGGACATTTTTCTAAAAGATCTGCTCTGGAAATTATGTTGGGGAAGTTCTATGGCCTGTGCTATACAGGAGGTCAGACAAGATGATCACGGTTGTCCTTTCTGGCTTTGGAAGCTACGTATCTATGACATCCCCTGTGCCAACACAGCTGGGACTAGGAAGAGACCATTGAACTCATTGCCCTTGTGACCTGACCAAGATTATAATTCATGTCTCCATAAATAAATACTAGCAGTGCATCAGTCAATGGGAACATCTAGGTTTCCATTGTATGGTTAAATAAACAACTCAACAAAACGTAGCATCAGTCACTTCTTAATGTCTTTTGAACGTGCTGATTTGATCTGGTGCATTTCACTCTCTGAGCCTAATATTATATCAGTCACTGACATTTTACAAATGTGGATCAAACCCTTCCCTCAAAACTGTTGTGATCAGATTCAGGTTCAGGAGGGTGCTCTGGGCTGGGACCGAGGGGTTCGGAGGGTGGGAGGGGGGGCAGGCTCCAGGTGGCGCTTACCTCAAGCAGCTTCCAGAAACAGCGGCATGTCCCCCCTCTGGCTCCTATGCAGAGGCACAGCCAGGCGGCTCTGTGCGCTGCCCTGTCCGCAGGCACCGCCCCTGCAGCTCCCATTGGCTGCGGTTCCCAGCCAATGGGAGCTGCAGGGGCAGCGCTTGGGGTGGGGGCAGTGTGCGGAGCCCCCTGGCTGCCCCTACATGTAGGAGCCGGAGGAGGGGACGTGCCGATGCTTCTGGGAAATGTCTGGAGTGGGGCAAGACCCCGACCCCGCTCCCCGGCTGGAGCGGGGCCAACCCCAGACCCTGCTTCCTGGCGGGAGCTGAAGGGCCGGATTTAAACGTCTGAGGGGCCGGATGTGGCACCTGGGCCATAGTTTGCCCACCTCTACACTAGATGATAACAATGGTCCCTTATGGCTTTAAAATCTATGAATATATGAAATACAAAGTATTATTAGGTTTATTCTTCATGGGCCAAATTCTGTTCTCAGTTACAGCAGCATAAATCCAAAGTAAACGCACTAACTCAGTGGTATTACCTCAGATTTACACTGGTGTAACTGGATCTGGCCTTATGAAAACAAGCTTATAAAAATAAGTACAATTAGATCAAAGGAACTGCGCAAAATAGTTCACTGTCAGAAAAAGCACACACAAGTTCCTTGCTTGACCAAATTATCCTTGCAACTCTTTTTGTAGAACACTGCAAGGAAACGTTCCAAGCCGCAGCTCCAGTTCTAATTTTATACTCCCAGCCGGTGAGTATTTGTATTCATTTGGCTCCCACCAAAAATTAACACACCATGGAAGACTAACCCAGCTACAGAAGGTTAGTGTGAATGGTCAGGTCTCAAACTTTTCTGTGATTATGAGACAAATGAGAAGTTGAAGGTTGTCTTTGGAAAGGAAATCTCCACACAATCACAATGAAGTTTCAATTTTCACTTAACAAATCTCAGAGTTGATTTATGACCTCCTCAAATCCTTGCTAAACTGCTAGGAGTAGAACATCCCGCCACAGCATTGGAACAGTTTGTAGACATGTCTTCTGGGTCAGAGTTAAAGTCACTGTGTATGGGTAAATTGTCACATGCTAATACTGTCCCTAATGGAATGTAGGTAGTTGTGAGGCTAACGGAATATTTATAAAAATTACCCTAACTGGTCATTACTATTACTTTATAATGCTTAGGTTTTGTAACTCTAATGCTCCTGTTATTTGTTTTGCATGAGGGTTATATGGTATTCACTGTGAGCTAATTATGTTTGAGTGTGGAAATGTGCACTAAATGTGAATGTAATGTAATCAAACTTTAAGGAGGGAAGGAATACTATGTTTCATGTGAGTGTGATGCAGAGGAGTACATGACTTTGAAGCTGTACTGTACTCCATTCCAGCACTGCACAACTGTCATCAGTCTACGCAAGGCTAATGGAGGAAGTCACTGAATCAGAACACTGCTTATTCTCTGCCTGTCAGTTCTATTGCTCATGTTCTGAGGACACAGCGATCCCAATAAAACACAAGATGGGTCTGATCCTGAAAACAGATCCACATGCACTAACATCATTCCCACACAGAGTCCCATGAGATGCGCCCAGGACTACAGGTGCGTGCATGTGGATCTTTTTACAGGATCAGACCCAAACAACTGGCAGTTGTGCACTGACATGATGTATAAAGGATGAATGTAGCCTCTCTCACCTCTTTACAACAAAAATGACTCCATCCCTTAAAGAGGAAGAATGCTTTTAGTATAAATCAGAACTGATTGTTGTTTTACTCTTGCTTTTATTTTGCTCTTACAGAAAAGTCAAGGGTGCTAGAATAGTCATCTCTAAGGAAAATTTGCATGTTTTTAGCAGTGTACATTCACTATGGGCTGAATCATGCAGTCTTTATGCCTGCAGAACTTCTATTGTCTGAGTAAAGATGGCCAGGTTTGGCCATATGCTTTGAATTATACTGTGTATATTTTGTTTAAAAGTCACTTTCATTTGCCTCTAAGGAACTGGAATGTTTTCTTAGGCAGGTTGGAACTGAAAGGGACCTGGTGTGGGATGGAGGAAATGTATTTCCCCATTGCCAGTATAGAGCAGGGGGTTGAAATCCCTTGTTGGTTTTACTGCCATATTGCCAAATAGTCTTGGTCAATTCACATCATCTGTCTGTTCCATGGTATCCCTGTCTGTGAAGTGGAATAAACAGTACCTTACAACAGGGATTGTCTTAATGCGATGGACTGAAGAAGGTCAGATAACTGATGAATGTGATAACTGAGGGAGTTTTAAATATGATTGACAGATCCTGACGTGTCAGAATATATGGCCCTGTGTCAAATCACAGGGATATTAGGAGAAGTGATGTACAGAAAGGTGGATTTTGAACACTGAAATTCGACACTGTTTTGGGGGGTGAGGAGGGTTGGTTCATCTAATGATAGTGAAAGGGGACAATTGTGAAAGTGGAATCCTGGTTTGAATTCAGAACCCCCTTTCCCAACCTAAAATTTGGGGAGGGGAAGGGAGTTTGTGTCCTTAGATTTAGCTCAGGCTCCTCATGCCCCCCTCTTGCATTTCACCTACTCCACAGGGGCTTTGGACTAAAGATATGACAGAGCCACAACATTCAGATCTGAAGTCTGGGGAAGTTTAAGTGGTCAGGGACGAAGGGTCCAGGGTTCTAGTTTAGACTTCTCTCTAGTTGTGAGGGTTATTTATATAGCACAACTTGTATTCTGACAAAATGAGCCATATGAGTGCAAAATAACGTGTATACATACATAGACACCAACAACAATACCCGTCCCTTGAAATACAAAGATGAGTTTAGCTCATACTGTACATGGTCAAAGCCTTAAACTCTGTATCATCTTGACCTCAGATTTACTAATGGATATGCATTGTGGTTCCATTACTAATG